GTAATTCATCAGAAATTAAGAAGGCAGGGCTGACAACACATGCTTTTGAATTCATAGCCAAACATACACTGTGTTTTCATGGTAAAGAGAAAGGTAAGAGCACACTTTATTTCTGGCACATCAGTTATTTTTTCTGTACTTGCAGTAGGTTTAAAGAGATAAAAGAAAGGGAAGTGTGCATGTATTGCAGAGATGTACAAAATATGTTTTTTTTTTTTCATTGACATTTGCTTTAACCCTAGCTGCCTGGCATTGCGCTCCACTTTTAAACTCAAATGGCCAGACCATTTTTAAAAATTTTTCATTGCTTTTTTATTTTTATCTTACAACTTTCAGAGTTTGTAAAAGATCCCCCAAACCCTATATTTTCTGAAAGCACATGACCAGTAGAATAAAAAGAAGGTACTACCAAATTTTTAGGGCCCTGTAATATTTGTACAAATGTTTATCAAAACAATACTTTTTTGCTAAAAATATACTAAAATAATCGTTCGTAGATACAAACACAGCAAATTTTAGTAATTTACTGCTAAATTCCTATTAGTTATAAAAACTTAACCTGTATTGAGTTAACAAACAACAAGTATTTGTAAATGTTAAATTGCGCATAATATAAACAATTCGTGTAAGATCAGGGAACTAGAAATACTGAGTCTGATATGATTCCTGGCCTGTGTGGTCATAGACCGAGTTTAGGAACATTAGCATTATTAATATCTCAAATTCCTCTTTTTTGTCCCAAATATTTGTCCTTTGGGTGAATAATCCCCCGTTTTTTGGTAGATGTTTATCATCTTTACTATACAGTATAGCTGTAACCAGTCTGCAACTTCAGTCCTGTATATGTTGATCTATTTTGTGCTACTTTGCTATGTTGGCAATTTTTCATGTCTGGAAAATCCTCTCTTATACATATAACATAATCCTAATGTTTGTTTCTTTGCTTATATGCACCATGCTTTTTGTGGCCCCTCTTAGCTTTTGAGTTGGACCTGCGATTGCACATCTGGGCCTTTTTGGGTGGGAGCCTGTCCCCTTCTGGGTCTGGTGTGCGGCCGGGTGGCCACGGAATATCCTGCCCATCATTTGGGGCGGTGCACCCGTGGTTTTAGGGGGTGGGTCTCCGCCTGCAGTGCCGTTGCGGCACATGCAAGGGTGTGTTGCGCTTTGCGCATCACTGGCGGCTGGGCGCAGTGATATCACACGCACTGGCATTGGCACGCCACGCCAGGATGCTCTTTAGGCCACAGACCGGCACTCTACATTTGCCAATCTTATCAGGGCGTTTGCCCTGGAGAACGTTTTTGCCAACAGCAATCCGTGATCTTGCGCTGTTGAACCGAATTTCTTGGTAAGACACCTGTTATCTGTGGATACTTGTGTAGCTTTGTGACAAGTTAGTATTTAGTATTACACTGTATATATTATATGGCTTGTCTTTCTTTTTTCCTCTCTCTCTCTTTAGGCCTATTGGCCAATCTCCTGCTATGAGGTGTTCTACCATTAACAACAAAAGGGATTTGGATATACTCTGTGTATATCCTCTACGGTTCAGCTCTCTGTGTCTTTGCTACTACACCATTGTGACTAAGGCTTGTCTGTACTACCCTAATCGGTAGGTTTTGCTATGCAGTCTGCATGTAATCGGAGATGGGCCTTTAGACATGTTCTGCATACTAATATAACGTTAATACATCCCTTTTAGATAGCTGTATCGTTTTTTTAACACTTCAGAAGTCTGACATCTTCTATTTGAATATAAGCCTCCTCCTTGAAAAGGATTGTAGGTCAGCTGATGATTATCATCATTATTCTCCTGGATGCAAGGGATCACCTTATATTTAACAGCGCTGCGGGAAGGTAAATAACTACACGTATATATCTTAATTAATATAATTTTATCTAGGATGACAATTTGAGTCTCTATACATATATATATATATATATTTCTATTTAGGTTCTTTTTGGCTCCCTACTATTCCTTTGTATGTGGAATTTAGCCCTTTGGGGTACTTTTGGGTGCTGGCTTGCCTTCCTTTTCTGCACCCCCACACCTGGCCCCCTGGATGGTTTCTGCCCCATTGGGTACTCAGAGGAGGCCTGCTCTCACTGACTGGACGGCTCATGACTGTCTGGTGCATAATGAGATTTTATGTAAGTGTATTATATGCTTTATGAGATTTGTATTATGTCTATATGATTTTTTGGTTTGTCATTTATATCTATGTCTCTTTTAGATTTACAAATAGCTCCTGAGGAAGCGATGGGTGTCGTGAAACATGTTGAGCAAATTCTTTAGCGTCAAAATGTCCCTCACCCCCCCCATAGGATCATCCTGGTGGTATTTTTCATGCCTCATCACTGGTTGTGCTCCTTTGTACATGGTGGGTTCTGGGATATTTGTTGCTGCCAGGATATTACTTAATAGGTTTTACATTTAATATTTATGGTTATATATGTGACATAATGTCAAATAAAGCATTTTTATTTGACATTACTATTTACACATGTATCTGGTCTTTGTGCCTATAAAGTCTATTGTAGTATTCCTGTTTTATTCTGACTAGTCTAAATTAGAAAGTGGCACTAGTGTATATATTGGGAATGACCCTATTCATCCGAGGGCACCCCAGCTTATACCTTTAAAAAAAATCACCTCTGCTATTGTAAATTTGTACATTTTAAATTGCGCCTTTTTGGGAAATGGTGAAAACAAAACTTATGCAAAAATGTCTCTAAAAATCTGGAGGTTTTAATTTTTCACTTACAGCTTTCAGAGTTTGTAAAAGATCCCTAAAACCATATACAGTGGGGCAAAAAAGTATTTAGTCAGCCACCAATTGTGCAAGTTCTCCCACTTAAAAAGATGAGAGGCCTGTAATTGGCATGATAGGTAGACCTCAACTATGAGAAACAAAATGAGAAAAAAAAATCCAGACAATCACATTGGCTGATTTGGAAAGAATTTATTTGCAAATTATGGTGGAAAATAAGTATTTGGTCACCTACAAACAAGCAAGATTTCTGGCTCTCACAGACCTGTACCTTCTTCTTTAAGAGGCTCCTCTGTCCTGCACTCATTACCTGTATCAATGGCACATGTTTGAACTTGTTATCAGTATAAAAGACACCTGCCACAACCTCAAACAGTCACACTCCAAACTCCACTATGGTGAAGACCAAAGAGCTGTCAAAGGACACCAGAAACAAAATTGTAGACCTGCACCAGGCTGGGAAGACTGAATCTGCAATGGGCAAGCAGCTTGGTGTGAACAAATCAACTGTGGGAGCAATAATTAGAAAATGGAAGATTTTGATCCCACGCAAGATCTCACCCCGTGGGATCAAAATGATCACAAGAACGGTGAGCAAAAATCCCAGGACCACACGGGGGGACCTAGTGAATGACCTGCAGAGAGCTGGGACCAACGTAACAAAGGCTACCATCAGTAACACACTACGCCGCCAGGGACTCAGATCCTGCAGTGCCAGACGTGTCCCCCTGCTTAAGCCAGTACATGTCCTGGCCCATCTGAAGTTTGCTAGAGAGCATTTGGATGATCCAGAAGAGGATTGGGAGAATGTCATATGGTCAGATGAAACCAAAATAGAACTGTTTGGTAGAAACACAACTCGTCGTGTTTGGAGGAGAGAGAATGCTGAGTTGCATCCAAAGAACACCATACCTACTGTGAGGCATGGGGGTGGCAACATCATGCTTTGGGGCTGTTTCTCCGCAAAGGGACCAGGACGACTGATCCATGTACAGGACAGAATGAATGGGGCCATGTATCGTGAGATTTTGAGTGCAAACCTCCTTCCATCAGCAAGGGCATTGAAAATGAAACGTGGCTGGGTCTTCCAACATGACAATGATCCCAAACATACCACCTGGGCAATGAAGGAGTGGCTTCGTAAGAAGCATTTCAAGGTGTTAGAGTGGCCTAGCCAGTCTCCAGATCTAAACCCCATAGAAAACCTTTGGAGGGAGTTGAAAGTCCGTGTTGCCCAGCGACAGCCCCAAAACATCACTGCTCTAGAGGAGATCTCTATGGAGGAATGGGCCAACATACCAGCAACAGTGTGTGCCAACCTTGTGAAGACTTACAGGAAACGTTTGACCTCTGTCATTGCCAACAAAGGATATATAACAAAGTATGAGATGAACTTTTGATATTGACCAAATACTTATTTTCCACCATAATTTGCAAAAATATTTCTTTCCAAATCAGCCAATGTGATTGTCTGGATTTTTTTTCTCATTTTGTCTCTCATAGTTGAAGTCTACCTATGATGCCAATTACAGGCCTCTCTCATCTTTTTAAGTGGGAGAACTTGCACAATTGGTGGCTGACTAAATACTTTTTTGCCCCACTGTATTTGCTGAAAGCGCATGACCAGTAGAATAAAAAGAAGGTGCTACTGAATTTTTTAGGCCCAACAATAGTTGCGCAAATGTTTGTCAATTTGCTATTTTCACTCAAAATACACTAAAATACTTACCGTATTTTTCGCTCCATAAGACACACTTCCCCCCCCCCCCCCAAAATGTCAGTGTGTCTTATGGAGCGAATATGGAGCACCTGGTCCGGTATTTCCTCCGCCGCCACCACCATGTCAGAATACCCGTCCGCCGCTCAGCTCTTCTCTGCAGCAGGACCTTACCTGTTCCTCGGTGCAGCGCTGTACAGTCTTTCCGCACTGGCATCTTTAGTGTGGGCACCCAGCTGTGACAGCCAGGTGCCCACTGCACATGTGCGAGAAGCGCTGCACTTTGTGAATGGTACAGCATCTTCTGGGACACATGACAGGTCCCAGAAGATGCCGGGCCATTCACAAACTGCAGCGCTTCTCGTGCATGCGCAGAGGGCACCTGGCTGTCACAGCCGGGTGCCCACACTAAAGGGAGGCAACTCCGCGGAAGAGGGTGCGGGTACCTGTCAAATTCAGGTACCTGCTCCCCCCCTCCCTCCCAAAAGGTCTGCAGTCTCTGGTCATCCCCTGTACTGTGTCTGCAGTCTCTGGTCATCTCCTGTACTGTGTCCGCAGTCTCTGGTCATCTCCTGTACTGTGTCTGCAGTCTCTGGTCATCCACTGTACTGGGTCCACAGTCTCTGGTCATCTCCTGTACTGTGTCTGCAGTCTCTGGTCATCTCCTGTACTGTGTCCGCAGTCTCTGGTCATCTCCTCTACTGTGTCCGCAGTCTCTGGTCATCTCTGTACTGTGTCCGCAGTCTCTGGTCATCTCCTGTACTGTGTCCGCAGTCTCTGGTCATCTCCTGTACTGTGTCCGCAGTCTCTGGTCATCTCCTGTACTGTGTCCGCAGTCTCTGGTCATCTCCTGTACTGTGTCCGCAGTGTCTGGTCATCTCCTGTACTATGTCCGCAGTCAGGTCATCTCCTGTACTTTGTCCGCAGTCTCTGGTCATCTCCTGTACTGTCCGCAGTGTCTGGTCATATCCTGTACTATGTCCGCAGTCTCTGGTCATCTCCTGTACTTTGTCCGCAGTTTCTGGTCATCTCCTATACTGTGTGTACAGTCTCTGGTCATTTCCTGTACTATGTCTGCAGTCCATTGGTTCAGAATATTTTTTTTCTTGTATTTCTCCTCTAAACTAGGCATGTCTTATGGTCAGGTGCATCTTATGGAGCTAAAAATACGGCATTAACTCACATAAACACAACATAACTTAAAAAATTACTGCTAATTTCCTACAAATGCCTCATTCAGTGGGGTGTGCTAAAGTGTACGTCCATGGATGGCTGTGTTTACCTGCTTGTGCATGTGGATGTGCATCCCTGTGCAGGCAGTCCTGTTCATGCCAGTTTGGACGCAGTGGCTGCAAGGACAGATCTGACATCTGTGTGGGTATAGGTGCATGGCCCCAAATGCAGACAGTGTTTTAGTTCAGGGACATGCACCCACATGGATACCATGTTGGAAGCCGTGGCTGTGTCCATGTAACCGCTGTGGCTCAATTGACATCAATGGGACTGCTTGCATGGGGATTCCCGGAACACCTGTGCACCTCTGTGCAGCTAAACACAGTCCTGCAGTAGTATGTCCTGCATGAATGAGGCCTTAGGCTTTGTTTATACTTGTGGTTGGGGGGTGTCAAAAATGTACAGTTTAGCTGTGTTTCTGCCGCCAACCAACCACCCCCATTAATTTGAAATAGGCAGTGGATGGGGTTTTTTCCATGCTGGGGCTGTGATGCTTCTCACCCGTGGCAAAGTTGTCCTGACTTGTAGTGATGCTGCCTGCCGAACGCATGTCAGTAGCCTCTGAAGCGTAGCCTCGGCCTTCAGGGAAACGCGGGCACGACAGCCCATTCAAATGAATAGGCTGCCATACCTGCGCAAACACAGACCACAGTGCCCACACTGGCCTCATTATGTAATAATATGGCCAGGATGCAGAAATGTAAAAAAGATTTATAGCCTTACAAAGGTGGCAGTCTGCTACTCTCAGTCATATGTTTATTTACAACTTTCGATGAAGCAGATTTCACATAAATTACCTATATTTTTTATTTTCTTAGTGGGCATTTAAGGATAACAGAACTATTAACGTTTATGTGAGGTTGGTTTAGACAAGGCACCAAGGAGCCCTTATGAGAAATGTGTTATCTTCTCTAAGTAGAAGATAGTCTTGAGTTGTTTTATTGCAAAGTCAAGCCATTAAGAACATTTATGGAATCTGCTCTGGATTAAAACAGGTAAATTACTGTACTAAAATGTTTCTAAACTGTGTTTTTTTTTTAGCAGTGTGTGCATTTTTCTTAAACGGTTTGTTATACATGCAGCTGAATATTTTTTTGTCCTTTTTTTTAGATACATAACTATTTACAAAGAGCACAAACACATGCTTCTCAAATTGCTTTGGTTTTTATAAGAGTTATAAATTTATGTATTTCTGAAGATTGATTGCAGACATGCAAATTGTTGCTGTGTCCTTGTTGCCAACTATGCTTTCAGAATCAAAACTTTCAAGCACAGATGCAGCCTAAATATAGAAGCTTTTAGCCAACTTAGGGGTTGTTAGCTTTCTTTGTACTGTATTTCCCTACTGGTATACAGGAAAAAAATCCTAAACAAATAATCACTTTCCTTCTTTTTATTTTGCAGAATAAAATCAACATTTCAAATTATTCATAAAGCACAATTTTCATAAAAGTGTAAATGCAGATCACTATAACAAATTTAACATAAATCAAATGACAAATTATTATAATAGCTGCATAATTATACTCAACGTGGTCTAAAAATCACCCCAAGCTTCTAGAAGAAATTTGCATTGGCTGTATAAATATATCTAGAGGATCTTAATGCCGAATGGCATACAAATTAAACATATGTTGTGACTTATGAAATGGCAGCTCTACAACTCTCGGGAAATGATTAAAAAGTATGTTAAAATAAATTAAAATATCAGTGTGGCCTGAAAATTAACATACACTAATGGCCCTGGATCAACATTGCTATGTATTATATTTAAAATCATTTTATTCCTGAACTATTCAGGTGTTTTATAAAATACAAATTCTCATATTTTTATATAATAAACAAGCACAAATGTACTCTATGAAAAGGCACTTTAAATTTAATGACTGGTCTACAAGATTTTATTATGAATACATGTTTTGCATTATGAATTTAAATATAACAATGTATTCTTTTTACCTTGCATTATGGTCATATTAAACTATCCTTCGTCTGAGAATAAAACACATATTAGTCTTTTATAATTGCATACAAGAGTTGATAGTTCCCTTGTCTACTTCACGACATGGTCTGCATTTTCTGCATACTAGTAAATTCTGGAGCTGCCACATTTAGGAAGCCCACAGACAGCAAGGACAATTGCTACCTGGTCTTATTCATATACATCAAGGCTAACAAGCAGAAAAATTATCTATCCAAGGTCATTTTCATTCAGTAAGGTTGCCTTGAAGCAAATGTAAACCACATTTGAAAATATTTGCTAGAACACAGTAAACCATTGGAATGCTTTTTTTAAATTATTATTTTAGAAAATATTGGGGGGGGGGGGGTGTTCAAAAAAGAATTAAGAACAGTGTTTCAGGGCTCTAGCCTTTTAAAATGACCTGTGCCAAATTAAAAATTCTGTACTGCCTGTTTTGGTAACTTTACTAACACGTGCCGCAGATTTAGTATGTAGATAACTAAACTGGAGGTAATTAAGCTCTAATCTAAATTGGCGTACAGTGACAGGCACAGTGCCTTTTCTTGTCCACAGTGTAGCAGAGTGGCATATTCGCTGCTGCTGCCCCTTGCTTGTCAGTGGGTGTTAAGGAGTCCATCAGATTCACAGCAGACAGTCTCCTAACAACCTGAGAGGATGCAGTGCACAGAGCCTGATGGGGAAGCTGAGACATTAGTTTCCCATCTGGCCTCTCTCACCCTATAATTGACAGCAGGCAATGGGCAGATTCTTTAATTATATGTCACTATAGACATATGAAATGTGACATTATTATATTTGCTAGTTTTTAATAATATCTTACACTACCTCCTTACTTATCTTCTATATAAAAGAGAATGTAACAATAAATTTTTGTGAGAACTGATATTTTAAGCAAATCCATCCTGCATATGCAGAGTTACAATGATTGTAAATATTAAAATCAAGCCTTTTTTTCCTCAGAGAAATGGTGCACGAACTCACCACCCTCCCCTTGTCTTTAGAGAACAGGGAAGCTAGTATATTTTGGGGGGCTATACAAGTAATTTGTATGGAATTTGTTAATAAAAAGCAATGTAGAAAAATTAAGAGATGGTCCAGTCCAGCAAATAGACAGCCCCATATATTCAGCAAAGAGACATCCCCATATATTCAGAAAATAGACATTCCCAAATATTCAGCAAATAGATGGCCCAATCCAGCAAAGAGAGATCCTAATCCAGCAAAGGGACATCACCATATATTCAGCAAAGAGGCATCCCAATCCGGCAAAGAGAAATCCACACAGGTTCAGCAAAGAAACAACCCAATCCAGCAAAGAGACATATCCATAGATTAAGCAAAGAGACAGCCAAATCCGGAAAAGAGACATCTCCATATATTCAGCAAAGAAAACAGCCCAATTCTGCAAAGAGACATCCCCATAAATTCAGCAAAAAGATGGCCCAATCCAGCAATTAGACATCCTGATCCAGCAGAGTGACATCACCATATATTCAGCAAATAGACAAGCCCAAATCCATCAAAGAGACATCCCCATAGGTTAATCAAAGAGACAACCCAACCCAGCAAAGAGACATCCCATAGGTTCAGCAAAGAAACAGCCAAATCCAGCAAAGAGACAGCCCCATAAAAGCAAAGAGATGGCCCAATCCAGCAAAGAGACATCCCCATATATTCAGCAAAGAGACTGTCTAATCCAGCAATTAAACATCCCAATCCAAAAGCAGAGGACATCACCATATATTCAGCAAATATACAGCCCAATCCAGCAAAGAGACATTCCCATAGGCTAATCAAAGAGACAACCCAACCAGCAAAGAGACATCCCCATAGGTTCAGCAAACAAACAGCCCAATCCAGCAAAGAAACATCCCCATATATTAAGCAAAGAGAAAGTCTAGATCAGCAAGGAGACATTCCCATAGATTCAGCAAGGAGACATCCCAAAATATTCAGCAAAGAGACTGCCCAATCCAGCAGAGACATCCCCATAAAAATATTCAGCAAAGAGAAAAATACCGGAACTAAGCAAAGAGACATCAATCCAGCAAAGAGACATCCCCATCAATTAAAGAAATGGCCCTATCCAGCAAAGGAGACATCCCCACATATTCAGCAAAGAAATGGCCCAATTCAGCAAATAGACAGCCCCAAGCCCCCATATATCAGCAAAAGCCCCATATATTCAGCAAAAAGACAGTCCATTCCAGCAAAGAGACATCCCCATAATTAAACAAAGCAATGGCAAAGCAGACAGACGTCCCTACATATTCAGCAAAGAGACCCAATCCATCAAAGAGACTTTGCAATCCAGCAAAGAGACATCCCCATATATACAGCAAAGAGACAGTACCAAATCTAGCAAAGAGACATCCCCATATTCCGCAAAGCAAAGAGATGGCCCAATCCAGCAAAGAGGCATCCCAATCCAGCAAAGAGACATGCCCATATATATTCAGCAAAGAGACAGCCAATCCAGCAAAAGAGACATCCCATAGATTCAACAAAGAGACATCCCAATCCAGCAAAGAGACATCCCCATATATTCAGCAAAAGAGACTGCAATCCAGCCATCCCAATCCAGCAAGGGACATCCCCATATATTCAGCAAAGAGAAATCCAGCAAAGAGACATTCCCATATGTTCATCAAAGAGACAACCCAATCCAGCAAAGAGACATCCCCATAATTTCAGCAAAGAAACAGCCCAATCCAGCAAAGAGACATCCCCATATATTCAGCAAAGAGAAATCTAGCCCAGCAAGGAGACATTCCCATAGATTCAGCAAAGACATCCCCTAAATATTCAGCAAAGAGA